CATCGTTGCTGGTCTTCTCAATATGCCTCCAAGTCTCAAATTAATGCAGTACTGCAACAGCAGAAGGGAAACAGTACTCGCAATGATTTTGTTACTTTGTCGCTTCTTGAGAAAAACCGTTTTGAATTTTTAATTTTTGTTTTTATTTCAATCTTAAAAAAATTTGTTGATTCAAGTGTTTCACCACTTTTCTGAATCTGCAGGAGAGAAGCTTTCAAATAAAATAAAAATATGAAAAATCCGTCTCGAAATGAGAAAAATAGAAGTTCTTAAAAGGTGACTATGTCGAGAATGAGTTCTATTTTTTTTTCGCACTTTAGAATGGTCTAACTTAGCCGCCAGCATAACTTCTGAGGTAAACTTTTTTTGATTTCAAAATTTGGTACCAAGTGCTACAAGTGGGCAAAAAATGAAAAAAATCTGAGGCGCCGAGATTTGTGCAATTTGGCATGGAATGGCCCATATTTAAAATAAAGTGCTATAAACCTTTTCAACCTCCACTATAATTGAGACCGACAAAATTAAGAGGAACAAAAACATGAAAATGATGATCGACAAGTTCATATAATGAGGAAATATCAAAAAAGGAATTCTTCTGCTTGTTATGCAAAAAAAATGATCGATATCTACCCTTAGCGACACAAAAATTCCTTATCCTCGTAACTGAAAAAAGTAAATCACAATAGTCGAAAACAACCAAAAACCGTCTTTAGTTTTGAATAGTTCGACTAATCAAATAAAAAGCTTTTTTAAATAATTGCAGAAAATTCCGTCTTCGTTTTCAGCAAAGTGCCCAGAATCTAAAATTCTTACTTTTCCACCTCTAATGTAAAAACTGTAGCTTAATTAGTGTCATCTAATTATATTGGTAGAACCGGATTACGGTAGTTTTCTAGACTCACTTTCTAGTTTTTTTTGAAACATATTAGTGTCAAACTACTGCAGTAATATTTGTAAAAAGATCCTTTTAAACTTAATATTTCCCGAATTTACTGCATTTTAACCATCCATCCTCTTAAATGCTTATTCTGGTCCCAGATACTTAGAGAATAAGGTAAAAATGAAAAATTTCTTCTGCTACTTTCTAGACCAAAACATTAGAAGAGATAAACAGAAAAACTGACGGAATTTAATTGAGTAAGTTCAGAAACCTTCGATGCCCAGCGAGACTCTCATCACTGCAGTGGCCCCAAAGGAACTTCATTTTTCGAAATCAGTTGCCATCACTTAAAGCTTAATTGATATTGCCGTTACTCAAGGCATTTTAACGCAGGAAATATATAAGGATAATTGCAGCAACGTACACAAGAATCATTTTATATTTCTTTTCTGGAAAAAGAGCATTTCGCAAACAAAAAAAAAAATATTGGAAGCTGCAAAACAGAAAAAAATTTCTGGAGCTTTTTCCGTTCTTTTCAATACAATTACATCCAAAGCAATAAATTTCAGAAAAAAAGCAGAAATAAACGAGAAGACTTTTAAGTGGCGATGACTAGAAGAAAAAAACAATAAACTGAAAAAGTTATCGTAAAAAGAAGTCTAACATGACTGAATTTGGAAAGAAAGAGAATAATTGGGAACAGATAATTATTATTAGCGAAACTGCACAATAGATTTTGGTGAAAAAAATCAATCTGAAAGTAGGAGATAAGGAATTTATAAACTCAGTAACAGTCATTTAACCCTCTATTCTCCAGTTAGAACCAAATGCGTGACAACTGAGTGTAATCAAAGTCCCGAAACCAATAAAAGCAATTAGGAAACTGCCTTTGAACATTCTTTTGGCCAAAAAAGGAAAGAAAAAAATGCGCTTTTTTCACTCTTTTAAGCATAAAAAAACTTTCCAGCTTATCAGTACGTCTAAGAGTATCCTACAAACACACATTATTGAAACTCAAGAGCTTATTAAAGTTTGATACTATTCTTTGATACTACACCAAACAAAAAAGAAGAAAATAATTTCACTTTTTGCCAGTTATCAATTTAAATCATTTCTTTTGCAGACAAACTTAAACAAAATCCTCCTTCCCACCATCTTTGCAGTCAAACTTCTGTAAAAAAAAAAATACCGCCGCTTTTGATCTAGTTGTTTGCCAGCTCAATTAGCAACTATTCATTCAACTTTTTCTGTCATTTAAAGTGCTGGTCCTAACTTCTCTGCCTTCGTAGTTTATGAGAAACCCTTCTCAAACTGTTCTCTTTTTCTCATTCCACTTCCTTTCAAGTCACTACTAGCAGTGAAAAGCTACACAATTCAAAATGCAACAAGCCAGCGTGAACGGATGAGCTGCAAGGAACAGCTTCAGGTTTTTTCGACTTATTCTCGCTACATGGTGGGAATTATTTAAGAGTGAAACTGCTACTCGACTAACCATCTCCAACTTTAATTTTTTACTTTTCTTCAGCAGTTTCTTTTTTAATATTAGAACCTAAGCTGACTGCATCAGACGATCACCCGAACAGCATCTCCAACAATCCTACAAAAAATTTAGACTTAGAAACCTTTGAAGTGCAGTCGAATTTTCCAGTAATTTACAAGAGTAATTTCATGAAACCAATAAAACTCAAAAACCAAAATATTTGTACTTACAGAAATTAACTTTCCCCAGGTTTTATTTCACTGATTAGGATAAATGCAATTACATCAAATCAGTAAAGTTTGTTTATATGTGCGCAAAATCTACAAAAAATTACACCTACGTGTCTGATATTTCAAGTTAAAACCATATTTCCCTTCCCTCACTACAAACAAAAAAACCAACGTCCGTTCTATATCACTTCACTGGAATTACTCCACGTCCCAATCATAGCCCAGATGGAAAACATTAAACAAAAGCAGTAAATATGAATTTAAAAATTCTACCATCAAGAAAAAAGTGCATAATAGAAAGAACCATTAAACGTACAAAACAACTTCACACTTCCTCATAAAGATGTTAGTGCAAGTTAACTACGACCCAAGTTTCTAAAAGAAATATTACAACGAAGCAACCACCTCTCCTCTCTCTTGCAAATCCACTTACTTTTTCAAAACCACGAGCAGCCTTTCTGAACCATTAATAACAATCGAATCAATGCTAATCGCATCTTACAAAACAACAGTAGCGATCACTGATCAGAGCGTAAAGTAGATCAATCAACCTTTCTAGAATGCCCTAATTTAAATATAAATCACTTAACAAAAACGGTAATCATTACTGCTCTGAAACAAGTACAACCAATAAGAAACCTGTCACCAAAATAAGAGCAGTTCCTCCCAGGCAAAAACAACTTGTGCAGTTAGTAAAACATCCATCGACCTCAGGCAAAATTTGTTACAATAACTGCCCGAAATCAAACTTTGCTACTCACATCTGCAATAAAGCCCGCAAAGCTTGAGTGACTGTGAATCGTGGATATCATTTTTTAATCCTTTTAGCAAAAAAAAATACCTGTCGTAGTCGCCAACTAAATTTTACAAACTGGGCGAAAGGTTGGTTCAAACACGGAAATCCCTTTGAATTCATGCACGATGTAACCAAAATGGAATGTGTAATAAAGCAAAATCAAAGTAACAACTAATGCTTAGTGATCCCTCACCAACTGCTCGTAGTTGTATCGAAAAAATGCCACTCAAGGAATGAAATACCAGGGAATAAAATTTATACATCATACGGTATCTGGTGAGTTTCTAAAACGATTGATAGAATAGCACCATACAAAAATCAGACAAACCACACCGCTAAACGTATACCTGTTTTGACCAAGACAATGTAAAAATTAAACTTCCAAATTAAGAAGATTTAGCTGTGTAGGTTGGCAGTACGTGAAAATTAAGCATTATAAGCACATTTCAAACTGATACATAGAATTTAAAGATAAAAAGAAGATAAAAACAATGAACACTTTTTTGTAAAAATCAGACAAACAGTAAGTCAATAACATATACTATTGGTTGAGGTAAGGCTCCTGAGTTTATTCAGCAATCTTACCAGCATTAAAATAACAAAGAGAAAAATATTTACAAACTACACAGTAGGAAACCACAAGCAACACAAGGACACGATTGGAAAAGAATAAAAACGAACAATCAAAAAGACAGCTCTACAAAGTAAAAGGTTATCATGTCAGCCCAAGTAACAAAAATTTAATTGCCTGAAAATTTTTTCCAGAAATACTAAACGTGATTTAAAACCCAATTAGAAATATAAATCAGCGCATGGTCAGCGGTATCAAGTGTCGTATGAAAATTTAGCAGTCCATGGAAACCTGTGGGCAAATGCTTCCACGTTGTGCTAACTCCAGCTGTCTTAAGCCTTTGAGCGTACAATATGCCTTCATCCCTCAAAATATCATGCTCACAAGTTACAATCAGTGTCTGTGGGAGGCCCTTAAGATTTGGCTGCACTAACGGAGCGAAATCGGGGTTGAAAATAAAGGGAGCCATCAACTGCGATACTTCAAGATCATATTTTGCAAATGAAAGATTTTGTGTAACTCTGTAAAACATTTCAAATTAGGCGCTTGGCGAGGTTCTTACAAACACTTTATGGGAAGCCAGTGATAAAAGAACAGAAATATAAAAGAACATCATACAAGCTACCTGTATGTTGAAGGAAGAGTAGTGAAATCTATATATTGATTCAGAGCTTCTCTGTCTAAAGGTGAAACATGCTCATTGTTTAGAACAATATCCACGAAATTATAATGTGCCTTCAGGTTTACTCCAGCATACATAAGGTAATACTGAGCCAATACACGAGGATCCAAGAAAGCCGTCCCGTCCATTTCACGATAATAATATTCATAAGAAGATGTTTTCAAGTTATGGAACTGCACCAGTGGATAAATCATAACTTGTGCCTAAAAAGCTTATAAATTTAAACGACACCAGTATCTAAAACCACGCAAACCACTGTTCTATAAACTTTAAGCAAGTAAAGGCATATTTGAAAAGAATATAAAGATTAGAAAAAATGACGCAAATTATCCTTCAAACCAAAAAACTAACAACTATATCGCAAGGTTCCTGACTTAAACACCCAAAAAAAATAACAATAACATAGTTTAAATCACCTTTATATCACCTTTACTCTTCCTCTAACAGTCCAGAACCATAAGTGTTAAATGCACCAAACAAACTGCATAACTGAAGCCTTAAAAACCATACGGCCTACGCATTATTGCACAGACCAGTCTCTTAAAGAGCAAAAAACTAAAATTTTGAAACATCAATCATAGTTACTGGTAACTTGGATCCTTGATAGTGTTATTTATTGAGTTAAACTGTTTAACTTTTTTTCCATCTGCCCTTTTGTTGTTTTAAAGCTTCCTGTCCAAAGCAGTATATATACTGCCTTCTCAGATTAGTAAATACCGGGACGATTGTACCTTTACTTGAGGCACATCCTTTCTTTGACGGAGACGTTGAGCCACAGAAGCAACGAGGCCACCACCGGCAGAATCCCCCATAATTACGATACGTGAAGGGTCGACCCTG